TTGAGTTATTGGTTTTTGAATCATTACAAAAGTAACCTTAAAAATCTGGGGTTTGTTAATTTTTTTTTTAAATTTGTAAACACTAGAAGAAAGATATAAGCTTTTTCTTTCTAACGCCAAAAAAAAAAACAAATTCAAAATAATAGCACTGTTACCGATTTTTAAAATGGAAGGTACAGATCCGAAAATTTTTAAAAAATTCCAAATATTTCAAAAACTGCTAAATTTAGGTATAGGAAAAACTGATAAAAGAACCCTTAAAATAACTCAGTTAATACAAAAACGCAGTTAAAAAGTAGCTTTTTTTTTAAATAAGAAAGTTAAAACCGAGTAAAACAGACTTAAAGGATTATGACTATGTACCAATTTTTACATAAATATGATTATTCAAACTCCTAATACTTTTAATGTGGGGTTTGGACAAAACATCCTGTAAATATACACTAATAAGTGAACTTTGAAAACCTTGCCTTTAACAGTTTTAAAGACTTTTTATTTTTTTAAAAGTTTTGCAGCAAGGTTTTAAAAGTTATTAAAAATTTTATTTTGCAGAAATACGACTATAATCAGTGTTAAAAAAAATTTTACCATTTTTTTACAGTCAATTTTTAAATACAATATTTCCTCGGATTAAGTGTACAAGAAAAAAACTGCAAAGGAAAAACATTTTTTGCTTTGTCTGAAACGAGAAAATATGTAATTAAAACTTTATTATTCTAACTCAGTAGAAAGAAATGTTCATTTTTCTCTTGGTTTTGGAACACTTTTTGGCGGTTTTATTTTTTTCACTTAAACAAATAAGTTTTCGAAAGTTAAATAACATAAATGTTTGAGAAAAACCTAATTTTAATAAAAAGAAACAGTTTTAAGATAAACAACAAAGTCATTTTTAACGAGAACTATCATTGTTTAATTAATAAATTAATTGTCAGAGTGACATATAATTGTCAAAAAATAAAATCGTCAGTGTGATAAAACTTAAAGTCCAAAATCAAAAGAAAAATTAACTTTTCTTTTCACTAATTATAGATTTGCTCGTTTCAGGTGATGCAAAAACTCTTTTTCCTTTGCAGTTTTTACGTAAAATACCAAATAATTTTTTTGTAAACTCAATTCAAGGACATATTGTATATTTTAAATAAAAATTTTTGTTAAAAAATTATTTAAAAAAGGTTTTTAATTTGCCCGGCGCATCCACCACTTTTGACTGTTCAATTTTCTTAATATTAAAAATTATTAAAATTTAAAATGTAAGTTTGTTTTGATTATGCTTCATTATTGATTGTCGATTGTTTAATATTTTAGTTTCAATTTTTTTAGAGTAAATCAATAAGAACAAAACTTTTGTTTATTTTCACTTCACTTTACTATTACACTTATTATGTACATGTTTTAAACTTGCACTCTTATGCTTCTGTCATCTATTAACATTTATTTTATCTTTTTCACTTACAATTTTGAAAAATTATACGGTAAGAAGCAAAATTGTATTTTTTTAAAATTATTTTCATCGGAAAAACAGTTTTTTACTACTATTGCTTACATGTCTTGATGTATAAAAAATTGTCAATTTTTTTCTAGAGCTTTTAGTGAAACTCTAGAAGCTTGTTTCGGAGAACGCATCACCGTGTCAATTTCTCCATTTTTTGTGCAAAAACGTTATTTATGCATAAGTCTCTCGACTGTCAACGCACACAGCAAAACCCARGCTTAAATCAGCAATTTTCCTGACGTTGTCCCAATAATATCGCAAATAATTTATGTTCATCAGCACGGTAATAATAATTATCCATCACGGCTTATCTGAATTGAAATTTGTCCATGCAAAACCGCACTCGAAATTGCAAAATCGAGCGACTTTTCACCAYTGCAAGAAAGATTAATTAAAACACTGCGRGCACGCAATCGGAACTAATCTAATTCTATGGTGAATTGTGAATGAAGGCTTCATATTTCACCGGATTGATGTTTGTAAAGGGTGTGATGACACTTTATTTGGACAATTATTGCGGAGTTTTACTGTGATGTGCCATTAAGGGTATTATAACAACGATGACTTTTATTTGGGTTTAGACCCGACCTCTAGTCGATTGGATTCTGAGAGCTGGATTTGCTGTTTGGTTATCGAAGTTGTTTAATACTGAACCTTATTTAGAGGCGAAAATATTAAGAAAAGACGAGTTTATAAAATTAAAAAACTTCTAAAAAATATCTATAATAAAGCGATAAACTGCAAAATGTACAAAATGTAAAACCTTGCAACATAAAACTTTGCGTTACACGGTAAAAATTAAAAAATAAAATAAAACATTTTTATATTGTACGTTTCGTCAAAATATATGAAAAATTATATTTGAACTTATAGTAAGTTTAAATTTAGACTATTTACAAAAGGTCACATTTTCAACCACTTCTTTGATAAAATTTTGTTTATCAAATGACATTTTTTTTAATTTCTCAAATTTTTCTTATTAAAAAGTGTTCATTCTTAAAAAATTCTATTTTTCTCTTCTCAAAATTTGAATTTACAAAATTGTGTTCACCCACAAAAGAGATTTTATCACCGTTTCCCAATATTTTTCCCAAATTCTTTTTTTTTTTAGTTTAAACTCCGACACTTTTCAAAATCTCTACTTCAGCATTTCTTCAAAATTTTAAAATATTTTTCTTTTTTGAAATTTCTAGTCAATTATAAGTATTTTTTTAGTTTTTTGGACTTCTCTCTAAGCTGTTGAAATTTTTATTTGAAATCTCACATTTTTAACCACTTCTTTAATGAAATCTTGAACTTTATCAAATGACGTTTTTTCAATTTCTCAGATTTTTCTTATTAAAAAGTGTTCATTCTTTAAAATTTTTATTCTTCTTTTCTCTATTTCTTAAGATTTTAATATTCCTCAAACTTTTCACCACTTTAATTTCAAGATTTTAAACTACATTTTTCAAAATTTGAATTTAAAAAATTGTGTTCACCTCACATCATAATTTTTTTTCTTGCACAAAAGAGATTTTATCACCGTTTCCAAATATTTTATCAAATTCATTTTTTTTTAGTTTAAACTCCTAACATTTTTCAAAATCTCTACTTTAACATTTCTTCAAAATTTTAAAATATTTTCTTT